AATCGTTTTTCGGGGTCTGGATCTGGACCTCTTTCTTGTAACAAAACCACAAAATCACTACCGGGGATGGTGAGGGTCGCACCAGGATCCAGGGTTTAGCATGGCTTTTGCGCACTTGCAGCCCAGTCTCCACTGCTTCTTTTGGGGGGTAGGGGTTGAGGGAGGTACCAAGTCTTGATCTGTCACCCAGGCTGGAGTGCAGTGGCACAATCTCGGCTCACTGCGACCTCTGCCTCCCTGGTTCAAGCAATTCTCCTGCCTCAGCCTCCCAAGTAGCTGGGATTACAGGCACACCCCACCACACCCGGCTAATTTTTGTATTTTTAGTAGAGATGAGGTTTCACCATGTCGGTCAGGCTGGTCTCAAACTCCTGACCTCAAGTGATCCACCCACCTTGGCCTCCCAAAGTGGACCTCCACCACTTTTCCATGCGTGAGTTACCTCAGGAGAGAAGTTTAACTCATCAGAACCTGTGTCCTCATCTGTACTGTGGGGCCATTCATGCCCACCTTAGTTTAGAAAAAAAAAATCATACCCACCTTGCTGGTCATGCAGAATGAAGTGTGAGTGTAAATGAGAAAATGTATATAAGGTTCTTAGCAAAGGGGATCCCAGAAGTTGGCATTTTCTGCTTCCCTCTCAGGAAGCCAGAAGCCGCTGTGGCTGAATTTTCCTCTCTTCCAGTCTGCTCTGCAGTTCCTGAACTGGGTTTGGGGCAGGGAGGATGCTGACTGCAGAGCCAGGGCCGGCTGCTGCTTCATGTCAGGGCTGAATCCTTGAGGAGGGAACAGGGACAGCCTCGGCTTCCTCTCACCCCAGTCTAGCCCTGGTCCCTGGAAGGGATTCCAGCAGAGACAGCCCACCAGCAGAATGCACTGTGACCCCCGTTCAGTGGCCTCCTGAACCTAGGGGCGTGTTCCTGGCAGAGGGTGAAGGGCTCATTTCTGATTGTCCTGAGAGAAAGGCTGGGAGGTGGAAGGACGTCCCCACTTTTCCAGCCTGCCCCCCTCACCCCTTCTACCCTGTCCCGGCCTTCTCAGTGGTGGAAGGTTCTCAGTAGGAAACAGATGAGCGTTTGGTCAAAAATTCCCTTTCAAGGGTAGGCGTTATTGGTTAATTTTATTAATCACAAATTGAGAGTCAGAGAAGCAGAACTGTCAGAGGCGTGTGAACCGGAGCAACGGCATCTTGAATAGAAGCTGGGGAAAAGGAGGCTGAAACTGACTGGGCTGCATTCCCAGATGCGTAAGGCACTCTGAATCACAGGACGAGACAGGAGGTCAGCACAAGATACAAGTCATAAGGGCCTTGCTGATAAAACAGGAGGCAGCGAAGAGGCCGACTAAGACCCATCACAACTAAAACGGCCACGAGAGTGACATCTGGTTATCCTCAGTGCTGCACTTCCATTAGCACCATGACAGCTTACGAATGTGATGGCAATATCAGAAAGTTACCCTACAGGGCAGGCGTCCCCAAACTTTTTACACAGGGGGCCAGTTCACCGTCCCTCAGACCGTTGGAGGGCCGCCACATACTGTGCTCCTCTCACTGACCACCAGTGAAAGAGGTGCCCCTTCCTGAAGTGCGGAGGGGGGCCGGATAAATGGCCTCAGGGGGCCGCATGCGGCCCGCGGGCCGTAGTTTGAGGACGCCTGCTATAGGGTCTAAAAAGGGGAGACATGAATAATCCACCCCTTGTTTGGCATATCATTAAGAAATAAACATAGAAATGGGCAACCAGCAGCCCTCAGGGGGCTGCTCTGCCTATGGAGTAACCATTCTTTTATTTCTTTACATTTTTAATAAACTTACTTCCACTTTACTCTATGGACTTACCCTGAATTCCTTCTTGTGTGAGACCCAAGAACCTTCTTTTGGGATCCGGATCTGGACCCCTTTCTTGTAACAAAACCACAAGCCCAAGCTCACATAGCTGGGAAGTAGCCCGGCTGAAAGAAAAAGGAGGAGATTTCCTATCAATGCCTACTCATTCATTCATCCATCCATCCAACCATCCATCCATCCATCCATCCATCCATCCATCCATCCATCCTTCCATTTGTTCATTCATTCACTCATTCATTCATTCATTCAACAGAAATGTCCTATGCCCCCAGCCTTGTTCTGGATGCTGGGAATGTTGTGATCCTTCCTCTGTCCAAGGCATTCGTATTCTAGTTGATTGCTGGGGTGAGAGAAGTGGGTTGCTGAATGCTGATTAAAAAAACCATCAGAAAGTGTCAAGCAGATAATTAAAACAGGGCAGGAAGATTGGGAGTAACTATGGGTGGGAGGTGGTTGCTTTCGGTCGGGAGGGCAGGGATATTTTCTTGGAGGGAGAAGCAGTTCAGCAGAGCTCTGGGTGAAGAAGGAGCCTGTCTTGCCAAGAGCCAGGGGAAGCTTCCACCAGCAGAGGCCCCAGAGTGGACGGGGCTCGGCCAGGAAGTATAACCTGAAAGAGACGAGAGAGGAATGAATCGTCAGCCTGACTTCACTGACCTTGCCTTGAGCTTTTGCAAACTGCTTTAAAATCTCTTCCTTATTTTAAATTAAAACAATAAAATAGAGGACTCTGAGCTCTAGAGAACAACCCACGTCACCCAGTGGGAGAGATGGGCTATCCAGGCTGGTACCCCGAGATCAGGATGGCCCTCTGGCTGCCTTCAGTCAGGAACCACAAGTGTGAATGTTCTCAGTCCTTCTCAAGGGGACACTGAGAGAAGGTGAGGGGGTGGCAGGATTCCAGCCCCTCCTGTACATCACAGCAAGGCGAGGATGTGGGGAAGGAGCAGGGGCATTTGGAAGCAGGATTCAGTTGGAAAGACAGCAGGGCCTTGGAAAAGTCGTTCCTGTCACTTTGCCCCTGGGCTGGGCCCCCTGGAGGTGGAATCCTGCATCCCAGGTGGCCTGAGGCTTGTACCTGCCAATGGGTAGGTTTCTGCCTTTGACATACCTCAGCTGCACCTGGTAGTCCCTGGGCGTGGCTAGTCCCCCCTAGGAGCACCCAGGGCTGAGTCAGGGACTGTCTCAGTCAAGAGTGTGGGAGGTAGGGTGGGACACAACCCTGGAGCCAGAGAGACCTCGGTTCGAATCCCAACCCTGCCACTTATCAGCGGGTGACTCACGCCTGGAGTTTCAGTTGCTACAGCCATAAAATGCAGTAACAGTACCAGCGCCTCAAGGTGATTGAGAGGAGGGGTGAATGAGCACCACAGGTGTTCAATATCCACTCCACGTCCCACGCTGGGCAGAGCCTAACCCAGGTGGGAACAGGGAACACAGTGGCTGCCTTTGCCATCCAGAGGCACTGGGAGGAGCGGGTGGAAAACCGAAGCTCCCCTGGGAATCTCTCCTTCCTTGCTGCCTCTTGTCCGGTTTCAATCACTGGACACTGGTCCAGGATAAGAACTTGCAGGGTGGGAGCTTCCAAGTCTTGGCTGCCTGAGGCCCCATCTGCGCATCTAGCCTCCTAAAGTCCCATGTCTCTATCTGAGATTTATTCATTCATTCATCATTCATTTAGTTGTTCAACACATCCCTATCGATCACCTATGACATATCAAGCCTGCCCCGATAAGGTGGTCACAGATGGGAGCACCGCAGGCACAGCCCTGCTCCCGGCCACCCAAAAGTGAGAGCAGGTTGCAGTCCTTGGTTCTGGGCTTGCTCACCTGACACAAATTCCATCAGCTACCCACCCCTCAGGGACATCGATCCTGTTCCCTCTTGTGGGTAAATAAATCCTAAGGAATTTAAACCAACCAGGCTCAACCCATTGTCTTGGGCAACCTCTGGGTTAGGGTGACCTGTCCTGTGGAGAGGTCTGCTGGCTGGTGCTTGGGGGCTTATTAAAAAGACACAGGAAGAGAAGAAGACACCGCGTCTTCTTGGCTGGATGCTGTCAGGTCCTGGCCTGCGGGCTGGCATCGTGATTGCCAGCTTGGAGCTGTGAGGGGAGTCATCCAGAGGGCAAAGCCAACACACAGAGGGTGGCTTGCCAGGAGCAGGAAGGAAACTGGGCCCTGGTGACATCAAGCACCGAAGAGCCAGACTTAGAACCACCTCCTCTCTGAACGTTTCATCATGTGAGATCATAAATGCCCGCATTGTTTCAGCCCACTGAGTCAGTTTTTAGCTGGAAGCTTCTTAACTAATACAAACAGGATATGGCAAGGGAGCAGAGCCAGAATGGGCTGGGGCAGAGCTGTGGCTCTGCCTTTCTTGGGTTATGGGACCTCAGGAGGGTCCTCAGTTATAAAATGGGGGTTGTGATGCCTCAGTCGGCCATGACATTAAGAGAGATATTGCTGCAAAGCCGCAGGGAGCTATTGGGATGAGTTTGGTGAATGGTGTCTCTTGAATAAATGGATGTTACGTATAGAGGGGAAGGAGGAGGACAGTTTCTCCTCCTAGTTTATCTTGGGGGTGACTTTTGGATCTGGTCACTACATAAAAACAGTAACCATGCAGTTAACATTTAAAGTTATCACCCTGTGTGTGCCATGTGCCTGCCATGCCAGGAACTTCATCTACACTAATCTTAATGCAAACATCAACACCTTCCTGTTTTCTTCTTTGTAAATAATTTTCAGTCCGGTGCAATGGCTCATGACTGTAATCTCAACACACTGGGAGGCCAAGGCAGGAGGATCACTTGAGCCCAGGAGTTTGAGACCAGCCTAGGCCACATAGTGAGACGACATCTCTACAAAAAATATGGAAATTCCCCGGGCATTCTGGTGCCTGACCACTCAGGAGCCTGGGGCAGGAGGATCACTCGAGCCATGGAGGTGGAGGCTGCAGTGAGCCATGATCACGCTGCTGCATTCCAGCCTGGGCAACAGAGCAAGACCCTATCTGAAAAAATAAATGCTTATTTTTTGTAGAGATGAGATCTATGTTGCCCAGTCTGGTCTCTTCTTATTTTCATTTATACTTTAAACAGAGACTATTTCCTCCTAGTCAGTGATATAAATGGATATTTTTTAAAACTAGATATTATTTTTATTTTATTTTATTTTTTGAGACAGAGTCTTGCTCTGTCGCCCAGGCTCAAGTGCAGCGTCATGATCTCGGCTCACTGCAACCTCCACTTCCCAGGTTCAAGCGATTCTCCTACCTCAGTCTCCTGAGTAGCTGGGATTACAGACACCCACCACGGTGCCTGGCTAATTTTTGTATTTTTAGTAGAGACAGGGTTTTGCTACGTTGGCCAAGCTAGTCTCGAACTCCTGACTTTGAGTGATCCGTCTGCCTTGGCCTCCCTAAGTGTTGACATTACAAGCGTGAGCCACTACGCCCGTCCTAGACTTTATTTTTATGTGGCAGTTTTAGGTTCACAGCAAAATTGAGAAAGTACAGAGATTTCCCTATGCTGTGCCCCCACACAGGCACAGCTGCGCTCCACCCCATGAGTATCCCATCCAGAATGGTGCATAGGACTGGAATTTGAACCCAGCGGCCACAGTCCTTCATTCTTGTGACACTAGCCCACATGAGCCACTGCATCTCAGAACTGCTCAGGCAGCCGAGCCACGGTTGGTGCCGCAGGCCCAGAGCATGGGCGACTGCAGGTGCCTAGAAACAGCTAACTACACACGAATGGCAGCTTGGGAGTCCTCATAGGAAAAAGGTGTCTTTCCTTAGAAGCAGAGCCCGAGACAAGGATTCTTGTGCAAACACTTTACTGAGAAAGTACCTTCTGGAGAAACCTGAGCGGGAACCAGGAAAACTGGGTAGGCTATGGGGTGAGACCAAGCAGAGAGGAGGTTCCAGGAGAGGCCTGGCCTCAGCCTGATCCCAGGAGGAACTCAAGGGTGTTGTTCCATCCAGATGATCCTGCACAGAGGCGGGTGCAGGGGGGGTGGCGTCAGTCTCTCCTGGCCATGGGTGACAGGTGGCCTCTTGATTGGAGGGGTGGGGCGGGGGCCCGGCAGCTCTCAGTAGACCAGGACAATGCTCAGGAGAAGGAGGCAGATTGGAGAACTTGGCTGCCAACACCTGGCCTCACTCTGGTAGACGGGCTTCGGGCCTGGAGGGGATCTGAATGGGTCATCCACTCCATCTGCTGTAACCTCTGTGCATCCTCTGTGGGCTCACCCCAACCACAGGTATGAATCGAGCACCTTGCATGTGGGAAAACAGGGGAAACAGAGATGGCACAGACATGGTTTCCGTCCTCCAGAGGCTCCAGTCTAGTTGGGGGAGATCAGAGAAGTTCCATTTGCCACCCTAGGCCAAGCCTGGTAATGGCAGAGCCATGAAGCCAAGCTGTGGGAGCTTGGAGGAGGGAGTGAACGCTTGCAGCCAGGGAGGAGGAGTCAGCCCTGGGAGACTTCCGGAAAGTAGCCCTTTGACCCCAAGGACGTGGGGATGAGTCGTGATGAAAGTAATGGCCATTCAGTAGCCCCTGGTAATTCACCCTGAGCCAGTGCCTGCAGGCCAGACAAAGTACTCAAGGCTCTGGTGCCTGGAGCCACGGAGCTTGCCTAGTGCTTCACCCAAGAGGGATTTCCAGAGCTCCTTCTTGGTTCTGAATGTTGCTGAAAGCAACCAGGGAAGCAACTGAGTTTAAGACAGCTATGGTCTCCACCTGCAGGGATGTCAGAGCTTGCCTGGGGAGAGGGTCACATGGCCAACTGTGCGGGGGGCCCCCAACGCCTATGAGAGGCTTTATCTTAGGACAGTGGAAGGCCTTGAGGTTTTAAGAGAGACAGCCACATGGACAGAAAGATCAATATTGCCCTTTAGAGTGGCTGTTCCACTTGCAGATCTCAGATTATCTTGGAGGGGTGAGAAAGGACCGGTGGGGGGCCAGCAGGTGGGGGACAGCCACAGTCCCCTCCCCCCACCCCAATGCTTTTGTCCAAACACCATCCCCGAGGGCTCCCTGGCTTGGGCTTCTCCTAAGATTCCCATCCGCCCTCAGAGGGCACAGCTGCAGCCTCAACTGGGAGGATGTGGAAAGCTTCAGAAGGTCAGCAGGCACCGGTAGGGAGTTCCGGGACAGGCTGGGACTACCTCCCCCAGGAGTGTTTGAAAAGCCAGGCCGGTTCAGGTTAGATACTGGGGTGGGGATGCTGGAGCTCCATGCTGAGGAACAGGGTAGAGGGTGTGGACTTCTCCTAGCACCCAGGGGTCTGCCCCTGGCAGTGGGGCCGCCAGTAGAAACGCAGTTTCTTCTGGTAGGTGTCCAGGTTGCGCTTCAGGCAGAAGGCCACCTCCTTGTCACAGGCACACAGCTGCTGCTCACACCAGTTTCCCTTGTCAGCTGTGGGCAGAGGATGGGGAGCTCTGTGTCTCCTTTCCAGAGACAGAGCCAGGTATGGGTCTAGCAGCCTCCGAAGGCACTGCAGTTCCTGCTCCATCGAACCCCGGATGGGAACCTGGGGGTACCCGTCCCAGCGACCTTGAGTCTAGCTGCATGACCTTGGCCACGTACCGTAACCTCCCTGTGTGCCACTGCATCTTCACTTATTTATTCACCCATTTATTAAACAATTATTGAGCACCTACCGTGTCATGGCAGGACAGGACTGAAAGATAGAGGCATGGGAGAGAGGCAGGTATTAGAGCACCACAGGGAGGAATAAACAACTATGCAAAGTGGAAGTAAGGAAGCACGCAGGGCTAGGAGAGAAGAAAACAGAGTGGAAGAGCCGTTCGAGGTGAGATCCGAAGGGTCTGCTCTTCCTGGAGAAAGCTGGGGTTGGGGAGTGGGGGATGGCAACAGTCTAGGCAATGCAAAGACTCTGGGCTGGAGGGATCACGGTTTCATTATCTATAAAGTGGGGATAATGGTAAGAGCTGCCTAGGGGGCTGTTAGGAGAGTTAAAGTAAGGAAGACAAGGCACTTAGCCTATGGTTAAGTGCTCAATAAATGTTGGATATTATTGTTACTGTTCCTGTGAGCTCCTCAATTAGCAGCAGCTGCCTTAATGAGCCCTCTTGATGAGCCTTGGAGACCTGCTACATGTCTACATTTGTGATGCTGGAAAGGATGCAGGGGCCAGGTGTCCTGGGTTCTAGCCCAGGCTCTGTCAATTGGAGGCAAACACTTCCCCACTCTAGTTTTGGTTTCCTGGTCTGTACAATGGAGATAATCAGGGTTTTGCTGATCCTCGACAGGCTGCGGTGATGATGAAAATCACAGCCAATCGGGAGCCCTGTGTAATTTATTGTGGCAGGCATCCTGTGAGGCCCATTCTGTCTGTTTCATTTCAGTTCTTACAATAAGTGAATGGGGTAGATTACAGATGAGGGTACTGAGGTTCGGAGAGGTTAAGCAATGTGGTCACCAAGCGGGTCAGTCGTGGGCCTGAATTCCAAATGTTAAAGGGGTCAATCCTCCCATGGGCCTTCTACCCCGATACCCATCTTGCCTCTTCACAGTCCAACTGCAGCCAGTGGGCCCGTGCAAAAAAAGAGAGGTCTAGTAGCTGTGCTGTGAAGGCAGTGGGGCCAGAACGCCCTTCCTGGGTCTCCAGCTCCAACCCTGAGGTCTGGGTACTCACAGCAGTAGATTTCCCCCTGGGAAAAGTTGTATCTGTAATGGTCCGTGTGGAAGCGGCACCTGTGGGTCTTCAGGTGGGCGTAACAGCAGTCATGGGTCCGGCAGCACCTGGAGCAGACAGGGTGCATAGCTGCACGGGCCCCCGGCCTACTGGGGTCTCTAGCTGCTGTCACCCCGGAGAAGAACCCATGTCCCCACCTGGGAAGAGACAAGGCCTGCAGGGCTCCAGTCTTCCTTAGGATCATGGTAACATTTTCTGAGCGATTCCTATGTGCCAGACACCTGCTTTATCTACGTATTCTGTCTTAATCCTTTAGACCACCATGGGATGGAGGTGCTCATATTATCCCCTTTTCAGAGATGAAGAAACTGAGACTCGAGGAGGTCAAGCCACTTGCCCAAGATCACACAGCCTATAAGTGGCAGATCAGGGCAGTGCCTCCAGGCCTGGCTGCCTCACCGCTCCTCTAGCAGACTCCCAGGGTTGTCATGAATATCGGGCTTTAAAAAAACAATGTCCATTGCAGTGGGGAGTGAATGTGGTGATCGTAACTAGAGTAGGGGATGGGAGTGCAAGGGAGTGGCTGGCCTTCAGGGACCCTGGGAAACCTTCTGTAAGGGAAGCTCCAGGAGGGCTGGGATGGTGTCGGCACTCAGTGGTTTCCAGCACATAGTAGGTGCTTGACAAAATGGATTCAACTCAACTTAATGAATAGTGGAGAGGTGGAGAGGAAAGACGAGTCCCGGAGTCGGGGGCAGAACAGGATTGCCATCCCTGGGAAAGGAGTTACCAGTCGGAGCCATCTTTGGGTTGCCCTCTGCCACCTAGTCCGCAGTAACAGCCGTAGGGCCAGTAGGAGAGGAGGGGTGTTTTCCCAGTCACTTGCTTGATCATCTTGTTCAGGTTCAGGATCCCGCCCTGGATTGGAATCACACCTGCCAAGCAGCCCAGCAACCAGGAGAGGAGAGAAGATACATTTCAGGACAGCACCAGTGGGCACAGGATGGCACCTCTGCTCTGCCTAGACCAAATGGGTGACCTCAAATGATGATGAAAATAAAACAACATCTATTACTGCTATTTTTTTTAAAAAAAAAATGTCAGGCTAGGCACAGTGGCTCACACCTGTAATCCCAGCACTTTGGGAGACAAAGTCTCACTCTGTTGCCCAGGCTGGAGTGCAGTGGCATGATCTCGGCTTTGGGGGGCTAAGGTGGACAGATTGCTTGAACCCAGGAGTTCGAGATTAGCTTGGGAAACATGGCGACACCCTGTCTCTACAAACACTACAAAATTTAACTGGGTGTGGCAGTGAACTCTGGTCTTCCCAGCTACTTGCAAGGCTGAGGTGGGAGGATCACCTTCGCACTGGGAGATGGAGGCTGCAGTGAGTAGAGATCGTGCCACTGTACTCCAGCCTGGGCAACAGAGTGAGACTTTGTCTCAAGGAAAAAATGACAATTATTGAGTGCTTACTATAGGCCTTCTTGTGTATTGATTTCTTGACTCCGTTTGGCTAGATAATTACTGTTATATTAAATAAAGAACCTTTTTATTTTGGAGTAATTCTAGATGTAAAGAAAAGTTGCAAAGATGGAAAGTTCCTGTATACCCCTCAGCCACTTTCCTCCAGTGTTATCCTCTTACTTGTGATTCATTTGTTGAAACCAACATTGGTACAATGAAGGTTATTTTTAATCCCCTTCTTACAGATGAGCAGTTCGAGGCTCAGTAACTTGCTCAGAGTCTTGGTGGCTAATAAATGGAGCCAGAATTCATCCTTAAGATGGTCTGGTTTCATTCTCTGTGTCTGGGCATTGATTTCCCACTCCACAATGGGAAGAATAATCCCAACTCACCCTTCTTACCCCCAGCCCCTAGAAAAATCTGAGTCTCTAATAAAGACAGTGTGTGGGTCTTCTGGGAAACAGAGTGATTTAGAAATTGATGCTTTTCACGGATAATTTTATTTCATTCATAATAACTGCTGGTTAGAATTGATGGTAAGGGGAATTTATTTTACTGGAAGTGAGGAATGCATTATGTTGAGTTAGGAGAAATAAAATATATTAAGTTCATGAATTCAGGTGGGAGGTTGGGAAAAACAGATAAGACGAAAGGGAACAGAAGTGCACACGTGTGCAACCCCAGGAGATGATTCGAGAATGCAGGTAGCACACATCCAGATGGAGCCCAGAGTCTCAGAGAGACGGGGCTGGGCAGCCCTGCTTCAAGTGAGCCTAATTGTGGAAACTGCACCCAACCTCGGGCAAATGAAGTCAATAGTACAATCTCTCTTCCCACCCCAACGGGCTCCAATGTGGGGTACTCTAACCTCTGTCTTCTTAGGGCCCCACATTGGGGCCCGTTGGGTTGGAAAGGGAGGTTGGAAGGAACTCATGCAGTGGGCAAAGAGTGAGACCACAAATGTGTGGCCTTGGGTTGCAACTAAAAGTGACTGGGCCTTCATGACCCCAGTGTGTTTCCTCGATGCGTGGGAGTCCATGTTGCCATGCCTGTTTGACATGGTGACCCCAGCTGTTAAGACACGTAAAACAGAAGCCTGCCTAACCTTTGGCTGCACTGGTGAAGGATCCTGGGGCCTCTGGAATCATACACAATCCATCAGAGATTCCTGGATTCCATAAGGAATCCAACTGCAATTGGAGAGTCCACCTTGCAGACCAACCAGAGCCCCGTGTTCAGAATCTTGCCTTTCTCAGGGTACCTCTGTTCTCTTTTTCTAAACTTAGCTCTTTCAATCTGGGCTCAGAAATACAGAAACTGAACTCACACCTGAATGATGCAGCTCTCCCTTGCCATGTGAGAAATACATTCAGCTTTGATTCAGAATGCTTTTGGGTGGTCTTATTGGTCATGTATATATTTTTTTGAGATGGAGGCTCACCCTGTCGTTCAGGCTGGAGTGCAATGGTGCGATCTTGGCTCATGCAACCTCCACCTCCCAGGTTCAAGTGATTCTCCTGCCTCAGCCTCCCGAATATCTGGGATTATAGGTGCACACCACCACGCCTGACTATTTTTTGTATCTTTAGTAGAGACAGGGTTTCACCATGTTGGCCAGGCTGGTCTCGAACCACTGACCTCTTGATTCACCCACTTTGGCCTCCCAAAGTGCTGGGATTACAGGCCTGAGCCACCGTGCTCAGCTTATTTGTCATAGTTTTAAGATGAGGAGGACCCAGCCTGAGAAGTGGAGCTGGAGCTGTGGCTGGGAAGGTGAGGTGAACTGACTCAGCTTGTCAGCAGCTCTTGCCTGGGTAGCTTTTCCCACCCTTGGCTGCCACTGATGGGGATGAAGCTCCTTCTCCCAAGGGATGCGCACAGTGGGTGGGAGGAGGTACCACTGCCATCTTTCGTGCATGTGCCATGTGTAAAGCTATTATTTACACTTACTCAACACTTAGTATCTGTTTTCTCATTAGAGTCCTTCCTTCTAACAGCCCTATGAAGGGGGTTGTGCCCATTTTACAGATGAGGATATTGAAAGGTTGGGCACTTTGGCTAAGTCATACTGCCAAGAGATGGCGGGGCCTGCATTTGACTGAAGGTTCATCTATGTATTTCATCTCTGCAGTCTCTTCCCTCTTTACAACTGAGAGATACATTTTTGCAGCTTGATGGCGAATTTCCTAACGGTTTTTGCTGTAATCCTGGAGACATGTTCCTCTAGAGAATTCCAGAGTCCCAAGATACCATAAAACTACATTTAAATATGCAAGTCCTTTCACAATCACAATTTTGAGATGGATTGAGGGAAAAAAGACCAATTTCCTAGCAAGTGCATTTTACGTTTGGTTTGCTTAAGATCAAATGGAAACTGCTCCACCCCTCATCGAAGGTCAAGGGAAACCTCTTCCCAGGTTATAGGAAGATCATGAACATGAAACAACTCTAAAAATATGGAGTGCTATGCATTCATAATGGTTGTTCCTTTTTCTTTCTTTCTTTCTTTCTTTTTTCTTTTTCTTTCCTTTTTTTTTTTTTTTTTTTTTTTTTGAGATGGAGTCTTGCTCTGTTGCCAGGCTGGAGTGCAGTGGATTGATCTCGGCTTACTGCAACCTCCACTGCAAGCGATTCTCCTGCCTCAGCCTCCCGAGTAGCTGGGACTAGGTGTGAGCCACCATGCCCAGCTAATTTTTAGGGTTTTAGTAGAGGTGGGGTTTCACCATGTTGGCCAGGATGGTCTCCATCTCTTGACCTCATGATCCGCCCACCTAGGCCTCCCAAAATGCTGGGATTGCAGGTGTGAGCCACTGCGCCCGGCTGGCAATGTTGTTATTATTCAGTAGGAGAGGCAGGGGTGAAGTGATCTGTGTCCAAGGCATCATCATTACGGACCAGCAGGCCCCAGTTCTGGACTTCTAGTTTCTTCCTGTCACAGCTTGGCCACCCATGGCTGAAGCTACCATGCTAGGAGACTGGCGGCCACTGAAGGCTCTTTGCAGAGGGGCGGAAGGATTGGGGAGTGGGGACCAGGGTCCTAGGGATCAGAGCAACAGCCCCCAATCTAGCAAAGACAGGTGCACTGGCATCCCTCCTTCCCTTCCCAGTCTGGATTCAGTCCCCGACTCACCAACCATCACCACCAGCTTGCACAGCAGAGCAAGTTCCATGATCGCAGCTCAGGGCAGTGGAGGCAGCTGCTAGAAGTCCCTTTCCATGCGGGCGGCCCCCCCTTATATCGGATGCACCACACCCAGCCTCGTCCAGCCCTCCGTCCCACCCCCACACTCACGGAGGCAACACATGCTTCTTTCGCTTCCACTTTTCTGGCACTGGGGAGGTTTTTTTTTTTTTTTCATACAGGTTTTGTTTCCCACTTATTTATTTATATTCGTATATATATATATTTTGAGACAGGTTCACACTCTGTCACTCAGGCTGCAGTGCGGTGGCATGGTCATAGCTCACGGCAGCCTTGACCTCCTGGACTCAGGCAATCCTCCTTCCTCAGCTTTCCAAGTAGCTGAGACCACAGGCATGTGCCACTATGCCTGGCTAATTTTTCTCTTTTTTTAAACAACACTATGTTGTCCAGGCTGCTTCCAAACTCCTGGCCTCAGACAATCCTTCCGCATCAACCTCCCAAAGTGCTGGGATTACAGGTGTGAGCACCAGGCCTTGCCTTCCCCGCCACGCCCTTTTTGATAAAAGAAACATACACTCGGTGTAGAAGATTTGGAAAACCTAAACAGTAAACTTAAAGCCACCTGTAAATCGATTAAGCACCTTTGGCATTTTGATGTACGTCCTTCTGTGGCCCCGTCACTGCCTGCCTCTTTCTGTCTCTCCCTCGCTCCATACTTTTCCCTAACCAAAGTAGGAAAATGTTATCTATGCAGTGCTTCATAGCCTAGTTTTTTCATCTGCTGACATAACTTACAAATGTTTCCATGCCATTAAATATTCTTCTATAGTAACACTGTGAAAGGCAGGTTCCTATTTCATTATACTGCTATATACATTATTATTCTGCTACATCATTTATCTAATGAAGCTCCATTGATGAATATATGGGATTGCTTCTGATGTTTTTTTTATTAATCTGGACTGTACAGTGAAAGAAGGCCAAATTTCAGTTCATGTCCAGAATTGTTTCCATAGTATCTACTCCTAGCGTGGACTTGCTGAGTCAAAGCACACACACGATTTGAAGGCAATTGATGTGCGTTGACAACTTCCCCTGCAGAGGTCTGCCCCAGTTTATATGTGAGAATCCTAATGAGGCTAATGGGATGGAGCCAGCCCAACTTGGGTGGAGGACCTGACAGGAGGACACATGGCCACAGCACGGAGATGGTAGCCACCAGGGCTCCCCCGAGAACCTTGTCTCCCCACAGCAGAAACTGCTTCTTTGATACCTGTTAGAAGGCTGTCCGAGGACAGAATGCCCAGGCTGACCTCTGCTGCCAGCAAACCAGCTCATCCGAAAGAATATGCCAGCAACAGTCACTGCTAGGAGCTTCTCTCTCTCCCTTCTCTTTGCTCTTCCCTCTCTTTTAAATCTGATTATTGCCTTTGTTCCTTGATTCAGTCAACCAGCTGACCACCTCACACGTGTGCCAACAATCTACGTGCAAAATAAGTCAGCAGCAAGCAAAAGGGAGACCTCTGGTGCATTTTTTGATACACCCCTGTCCACATAGGCTCAATATTCATTCCCTTGTGCACTTACCAGTGTGATGTCTTACCCTGTGGACAATCCTAGACCGGGGCTCTTGGTGGCCCACGTGGCTACCTCTCAGAACCCACGCCACCCTCCATCTGGTATGGAGGAATGGGAGTAAAAGTAGCTACAAGCCCTTTGTTGATTCCAGAAGGCTTGTCCCTAATGGGAGAGAAGGGCTTTGATGCTGCAGAGCATCCTCATAAACCCCATCGTCAGTGTTATCTCGGACACCTCCAGAAACCCCAGGGCACATCCAGCAGGCAAAGTGTGGGATCAGACAGATGTGGTTCATATCCTGGTTCCTTCTCTTACAAACGGTGGGACCCTGGAATAATTACTTCACCTCCAGGAGACTTAGTTTCTTCATCTGCAAAATAGGGTCAACAGACCCTCCCTTTCCTGATGGCTGTGAGATTTAGAGACAACGTCCATAAAGCACATAGCACCAAGCCTCACCGATTCAGGGAATGCCATTACAGTAGCCACAACATGCCTGGAGGTTACGAGGACTGGGGAGATGGGATTCAAACCCAGATTGCCTGGGTTAACAGCCTGGCCTCCCTGACATTCTGGCTGCTTACCTTGGAGCAAGCTGATTATTAGCTTCATGTCTTCCTCTTGCTCCTATGTAGGACAGGGGTCATGACAGTACCTACTTCATAGGGTTATTGTGAGGATGAGAAGATGATATGTGAACAGGGCTTGGTCCACAGCTAGAGACCAATAAGTGTCAGTTGCAGTGACTCTCATCCTCCTCCTCTTCCTCATCACTGCTTATAATAAGTAAACTAAATAACCTTTCTTTTGCATGCTCTGATCTGCTGTCAATCCTATCCATTGGTTTTTTTTTTTTTTTTTTTTTTTTTTCATCTCAGTGCAGCATTTGGTCCTCTCTACAAATTTGATCTGGGTCTTTTAAGTATCTTCCATGCTTCTACTGAACATGTTCAATCTTTATCTTTTTATTTATTTATTTATTTATTTATTTAGAGATGGAGTCTCACTCTGTCACCAGGCTGGAGTGCTGTGGTGTGATCTCGGCTCACTGCAACCTCCACCTCCCAGGTTCAAGCAATTCTCCTGCCTCAGCCTCCTGAGTAGCTAGGACTATAGGCGTGTGCCACCATGCCTGGCTAATTTTTGTATTTTTAGTCGAGATGGGGTTTTACTATGTTGGCCAGGCTGGTCTCGAACCCCTGACCTCAGGTAAAGCCCACCTCAGCCTCCCAAAGTGCTGGGATTACAGGCATGAGCCACTGCTCCTGGCTTCTTTTATCTTCTTAAACATACAGAAGCTACAGTAGTTCCCCCTGATCAGTTTCCTGGCAGTTTCACTTTCCACGGTTTCAGTAACCTGTACTATACAGGACACTGAGATATTTTTAGAAAGACAGAGAGAGACCCACATTCCCATAACTTTTATTATTGTTGTGGAAGTTCAGGAGACCGGAGAGACCAATGGGTGAAACAGGAGGACTTTATTTAGGTGCACCAGCTTAGCAGATTCGCATCCGAAAACTGAGCACCAAAGACAGGGCTTGACCTTTTATACATGACGTACAGAGTGAGGTGAAAACAAGTTTGCAGGTGCAGAACAAAGACAGTTTATCGAGCAATGACAGGCACATAACGCAGGCTTACCTATGACTTTCACTGTGTGGCACAGATGCTTGTTATCTGCAGAGCTCAAGGATTTTAGCACGGGCTTTATCTGTTGGCCTCCGCCACAGCATATATAAGGCTGGAGTCCAGCCTGCTTAGGCATTTCTCATGACCTTCACTGTGTTACAGAAACTTACAGTTATCAGCTCTGGAAAACAAGAATACAAGAATTTACAAACCTATAAAACTTGCAAAGCAGGATGCAATTCCAGAGGAAGGGGAAGGACTCAGGGAAGTTTGCTTATAGAAGAAAAATTTGATTTCTGCCCCTCTTTCCCACATTATTATATTGTCATACTTGTTCTATTTACTATTCATCATTGTTGTTAATCTCTTACCATGCCTAATTTATAAATTGAAATTTACCGAAGATTTGAACAAGCGTAGTTTATCTGGGGTTCAGTCCTATCCGTGCTTTCAGGCAGCCACTGGGGGACTTGGAATATGTCCCTGCAGATAAGAGAGGACAGCTGCAGTTGTAACTTTCAATGGTCTCCATCTACTAATTCTATTGTTTATTACTGGTTATTTTTCTTTTGTTTGATGATTTTTTTAGTATAGATTTCCAGAAGTGAAATTTCTGGGTCAGAAGATATAAAGGTTTTTGGAGGCTGAGTGTGGTAGCTCACACCTGTAATCCTAGCATGTTAGGAGGCTGAGGTGGGTGGATCTCTTGAGCCTAGGAGTTCAAGACCAGCCTGGGCAACATGGTGAGACCCCATTTCCACTAAAAATTTTAAAGTTAGCTGGAAGGCCAGATGTGGTAGCTCGTGCCTGTAATCCCGTAACTTTGAGAGGGTGAGGCAAGTGGATTGTTGAGACCAGGAATTTGAGACCAGGCTAGCCAACATGGTGAAACCCTGTTTCTACAAAAAATACAAAAGTTAGCCAGGCGTGATGTTGTGTGCTTGTAATCCCAGCTACTCGAGAGAGGTGGATCTCTTGAGCCCAGGAGGTCAAGGCTGCAGTGAGCCAAGACTGAGCCATTACCATCCAGCCTAGGTGACAAAGTGAGACCCTGTCTTGTAAAAGGAAAAAAAAAGAAGAAGAAGTAAAACTGACTGTACATGGTGATGTGGGCTTGTAGTCTCAGCTACTCAGGAAGCTGAGGTGGAAGGATTGCTTGATCCCAGGAGTTTGAGGCTGTAGTGAGCCACGATCAAGCCACTGCAGATATCTTATCTCAAGAAAAAAAAAGCATTATATAATTTACATTTGAATAATTAACAACAAGTATGAAGATGTAAAGATTTTCATGCCTTTTCCTATCTCTGAATGTCTGTGTGAATTCGAAATCCCTTTGCTTCTGCCTATCAGCAGGTCTTAGTATCTATTGGGCCTGGTTGTTTCTTGGGATCTATCGGCAAGTCTGTGTGTTTTTACTTCCCTGACAACAGTCGGAAAAACATTGATGATACTGTTAGGCCACAACCTGGCAAGCTCTCCAGGTGGAGGGTAGAAGGGAGCCGGAAGCCTATCAGATGTTGAGAGGGGAAAATCTGTTAAAAAGAGCTACAACTGACTGAGTTTGTACTGTGTGTCAGGCCCTGAGTTCTTATCTCATTTGGTTTTCACATCCACACCATGAAGAAGACACTGCGATTCCCATATTACAGGTGAGGAAGCTGGAGCTCAGAGAGGTTAGAAATTTAACCAGGGTCACACAGCAGGTACAGGCAGAGTTTGGGTTAGACCACGGCTCTGCTGGAGCCCGCCTTACTGTGTGGGGGTTACTGCCCTAAGAACTCCACACATAATAAATATAAGTAGGTACTGTCATAATCTCCATTCTACGGATGAGTCACTGTGTCTTGGAGGTTTGCCATACGAATTCTCTTACCCGCCCAGCATA